ATTTAGGAAGATGAAGTCAGTCCTTTTTGCTTCAGTGCATGTGTGCCAACAGACTTTTAGAAAATTGCCTTGGAATTCCAAGAGTAATATAAATGCAATGGAATCAAATCTTTTTAAATGTAAAACTTACATAGAACTGATTATTTTTATTGTTGTTTGTTTGTTTATTTTTTATTTTTTTTTAAGTCCGTTATACCTGATATTTTGTCAGTGATTACAGGAGTATCAAATACTGCTATCTTTAAACACATCAGAGCCTCAAATGTCAAGTGTCAGTGTCTTCCTTGGATTGTGTTAATTTTTCATACCATCTTTCCAGGGCAATTCCTTCTGCATTATCATTTGTGAATAACTTCATGTGAAACCAGTAGAGCTTACAGTTATTGCTTTCTGCTTTTTCATAGGTGATTTGGTTGCTTAAAAAAATCAGTGCTACCAGTGCGGTGCTCAGATCAGTTTTTATCATCATGTTAAGAACTCATTTCAAAACTACTACTTCATTCATCTAGCAGAACAAAAGGCTGGAATGGGCCCTTCTTAGGCATTATTTCTTCCTCTGCATTTTCTGCAAGTGTTGAAAAGTGTGGGGTGGTTTATTTAATATTCCCTAGCCTTACTTAGGAAGCAATTTCTCTTCATGTTTATGTAGCGCTTGGTATACATGAGACAGGAATTACGGATACAAATCCCTGGCTGAACTGCTGGCCTTGGCATGAGTTGGAACAGACCCCAGGCTGGCTTTAGCCTATGCCAGCAGAAGATTGACAGTAGAATTCATTACTCTTCTCGAGCTCACAGCAGCTGGCACAAAAGCAGCTCTGCCTGCTTTACAAAGGCAGGGAGTTAGCTTACAATAGTTATTCTTCACTGCACAACTCTAGTCAGGCTCTGGCTACTTTGTCCTGTTCAAGGGGAAATCAAATTTGTCCTGTAGTCTGTTTCTTAAACACAGTGCTCCTGTGTATTACTTGCTGCTGTCTTTTCCCAGAGTGTTGGGTTTTGTTTTTTATTAAAACTTTTGATTTTCTTCCTAAATACTTTGCTGTGTTTTCTTATAGGTCACTTTCGTCTTCCCAGGTTTGTTACTGCAGCCATTTCAGTGTCATCTTTCACTTGCTCCCTCTTTCTCTGAACAGCGGTCTCTTTGCTGACAGAAATGATGGAGAGTAACAGATTCCAGGATGTGCAACTTTTACTGTAAAAAGTAGTCAGTTTTCCGTCCTTTCTACTTATGTTCTTAATCGAAATCATCTTACACAACATAAAAGGAAAGCAGAAAACTAGTCATTGCTGACTATAAAAAGTACGTATGATGTGAATCTGTAGCATGCATAGCTAAACGTTTATGACGGTTGACTATAATTACTTGACCTTTGAGAAGATTTTTGGGATGATTCCAAAGAAAACAGAATTTGTCCATCTTACTATCTTGAGCAATCATTCATTTTTTCTTTTCCTGAAAAGAATTCCTTTATGAACCAGTATGGGCCTGTTTTTTAAAGTAACAATCCAGCGTTTTGTAACCCATGCTGAATTCTTTTGGATGAACTGTTTTATAATTAATGGTATTGCATTAGGATTTCTGGAGTGTCCCAGCTAGAGAGTCTCAGGCTGAGACATCTATTGCACAAAGATTTATTTGAAATTGCTCTCTCCGCTCAAAAATTCTGCAGTCTGTTGTGGCAAGTTAGGTCCAGACCACTTACAGATGAAAAATGTGTGAGTAAGTAAAGAAGTGGAGGATAAGATAACAATAAAAGTGTTGGTGTTGGCTTCACCCGAGTGGTTTGCCCTGTCTAGTCATCTGGTGGTGATCTGCAGGCACCACAGGCAGGCTTAAAGACCTTCAGAGCCTTCATGCTTTCAAAGCAAGTAGGCAGACCCCAAATTGTGAAAGATGAGGAAAAGTGCACACCATAGCTTCTTTTCTGCATCATAACTAGGCTTATTAGCATGGGAGCGATGTGCCCAGCATATGTGCAAGCCGATTTTCTCACCTCTCTCTGAGCAAGTGTTCATCTAGGAATGGGTTTCCAGAACCACCTCTTCTGGGGGGAGAGAGGAACCTGTGCATATGGCCGTAACATGTAACATACATATGGTGTGGAAAAAGCCTTCAATGAAGTTCGAGCGCTGTTCACCATGCACACCTAGGGCATACCTAAAGGCAAGGAGACAGGCCACAAAGCCCAAGGGACAACTGCAGACTGAAACCTCCTGTTGAATAAAACACTGCCCCTCAGCTAGGGGACGGACTTGCTGAAGGTGGGTTGTAGACTGGAGAAAACGTTCAAACCATTTGTCCTGATGCAGCCTAGCTTAAGTATCGTGCTGTGAGACGTACTGAGGGTTTAATTCAGCTGTAGCTACCTGGGTTGCTCTTCAGTGTCTTCCAGAAGGGGAGAGAGGCAATGCCCCGCAGTACGTTCAGCTCTGCCTTGGAAGGAAGAGGCACAGTGAGGCTCTGACTTGAAGCCAGACGAGTTTCTCAGGTTTGGGGACCAGGCAGCACGGGGAGGCTGGAGTAAAACGCTTCTAGAAGCAAAGATGCAAACTTGTTTGTGTTTGAGAGCAGTCAAAGTGACAGACTGAATTTGGAAGCCACAGCACTGTGAAAAATGGCAACTCAGCCATTGGTGTTTTCACAGAGGCGGAGGAAAGGGGAACCTCTTTGTGCTCCAGTGGGAAAGGCGAGATCCTGTTATTTCCTTGTGATGCTGCCAAAGGGGAATCCCTCTGTTTTTTCGCTTTCCTGACGGAAATGAGCGAGGACTGATTGTTTCGACCCAGCCAAAGAGGGAATTGACCTTCCTGCTTGTTTGCCAAGAAAATAATTTGTTTTCTTTATTTCATAGCTTTTCCTTTTCATTGTAAAGCATTAGTAACCCCTTAATGGAAGGTTTGTTGTGCTGTGGTTTCCATGCAAATAAGTGTAAGTTTGTGGATACGTTTCCAAAACTTAGTGCAGAGGGTTAGAGGTGTTCAGGCTGTCTTCATGGGAGCTAAATCGGAAAACGTAGAATTTGCTATCGAGGGATCCCAAATTACAGAAGTATCAATTGTGGTTTCTGAAGTAGCAGTTCATTAGACTAGCTCAAATGTAGTAAGAAACTTATTGCCAACATACGAAGGGTAATTTCTCATCAGCTTTATATTTCTGTTAATTTTGTCAGTGCACTGCTGACTTGCATTAAGTTGTCTAAGAGATTTGACCTCTTAGTTTTCTGAAATTGCTATATCAGAATTTTTCATGTCCTTTGTTACTCCTTTGTAACACCTGCCCCACACCTCTAAGACTCCTTGCAGTAATGTTTCATGGGGCAGTGTAACAGAAGGACTGTAAAGCAGACCTCTGACATTTACTTTTCCTCCATGAACATGCCAGAATTTTGTTTATGGCACGAGTTACAGAACTCAACTTCCCTGGATTTTTGGGGAACCACCCACAGCTTTTGCTTGTACTCGAGATGCCACTAATATCTTTGCAGGTTTTGAAACTTAAGGAATTCGTCTTCAGTATTAAACCCACTCTCTTTCTAATAACTTTTCCCTTGTGCAATTTCATTTTCCCTTTAGCCTTCTGGCTAACATTAACTCATTAGGCTGGTTTGCTTGTTTATCTTGGGCATGTAGCAGCAGCATACGATCGCACAGTACCCTTTTACAATGTATCTGCACTGCACAACTTAGATTTGTAAACCTTAAGCTCTTATTAGTCTGTGAAGCTCCATGGCAAATTTTTGTACATATGAAGGACTGCTTGCGGTGATGCACTTGAACCATAGTATCTTTACTTGTTGCTGGATTTTATTATTTCTTTTCATTACGTCTTAGGAGATGGGGAAAATATTTGCTTTCTTGAAATTCAGTATCACTATTTCTGTATTCTTTGAACCAAATTCTTCTGAATCCAAGAAAATGACATTAGTCAGCTTCATATTTTCCTCCTGTTTGTTTTGTTGTATTTTCTCCAATAACTAAAAGATTCATTATGGTTTGTACTTGAGTTAATCTTTAGATTGTTGTTTTGCATCCTGAGTCCTTTTACCACATCTCGCCTAATGCTCTGTCCACTCAGTTGTTGCAACAGATGCCTTATCTGCGTTGTTTGCCATCAATTGATATTTTTTTTCCATGGTTGTCATTAAAGAACTTTCGCTGTGTTTTTGTTTTGTTTTGTTTTTCCTTCATGCAATTGCCTCATTCTCAAGAGGTTTAGACAAGGACAGCCTTTGTGCTTCTGCAGTAACATACTTGTACTCTTACGTTGCTTATCTTTTCTTTCCACAAACTACTTTGTATATTGGCTAGGGTGAAAATGAACAAACCAATGAATCTTTCTGGACAGCTACTATTGTGCCTTTTAATTTAGGTGACAGTGTCCCTGTTATTGCTTGTCTTAGAAGGGTCTTTGTGTGAAGATGGTCTGGGGTAGAGATACGGCAAGGAAAAGGAGCAGTGTCGTGGTCTCCTCATTACTCTGAAGTGGCTTTATGCATTTGAAGTGTGTAGGTATAGTGAGGAGGTGGTGATGCAGTCTGAGATGCCTTCCTGGTGTGCTGGCAATGTGTCTTCCTCTGCTTTGTTAATTGTATCCTAATGGGACTGGTGGGCCAAATGCTGAAAATAGGTTGCTTGTCCTAATTTTCCTTTTTTTTTTTTTTTTTCAGAAAAAACAAAAAGGAAAAATGACTGTATAGTGATAGAACTGTTGCTGAAAATGTGAAAATGACTATGATTCAAAAAGAGATTGGTCAGGCATCTGTTCTGCATTGGTGTAGGTTAAGCTGTGCAGATTTTGACAGTAGGGAGTGTTTTGACAGGTCAGTGAGTGTTTGTCAAGGCAGGCTGTGGACATCCTGCACTGGGAGAGAAACCATAAAGCAAAAGTGGAAGGAGGAGCCTCAGAAGTTTTAAAATATTTGTGTAAACTGTATTACAATTTTTGTATTAGAATATTAACTTAAACTTGGTTGGTCCCTCCTGTCTCTTTCCTTAAGAGTGGTCAAGCAAAGTAGAGACTTCCGTGTTCTTCAGCTGCTGTTATTAATTACGTTACAAAGGAAGAGTTACGGCAAGTAATTTCCTTTATTGTTTTCTTTTTTTTTTTTTTCAAGGACACTGCCTTTTTGTTTATTGTGTTTCTGTAGTTCTTTTTCACACATAAGGACTAACAAAATTCACCGTGTTCCAGATTTTTATGGTCAAAATTCTGGTGAGAAAGTTAAATTTTAAAAGTCTGCGTTGTTTTGGTACATTGTGTTTACTTTCTGCCATATAAGCCTCCTTTCATATCTATTCAAGACTGCATTTCACTACTTCCATGTTCACCAAATCATAACCACACGACGAGGTTATTCACCACTTAGGAATGAAAGTCCATCTGTTAGTTATTATCTTTGCTATGCTACAGCCCTTCACAAGGAGTGCTTGGGAGAGCCTTTAAATGCTGTACCCAGTCTTTGCTCTCTTCTGGGGAAACGCGGATAGCTGGAAAATGCTGCCTGCCTTACTTTGGGGTGTGGGGGAGAAATCCTTCTTTCCATAACTTAGTAGAAGTTTGAGTGTGGATTTTAAGATTAGGCCCGAAATAGATACCATGATTTATTGTATCTGAGTTATGCCAACTGAATACCTAGATGTTTCCACTGAGTTCTAGGAAGAAAAAATGTCTTTGTTTCAAATATGAGTAAAAGCTTTAATTTATATCTCTCACAGGAAAACTATGAACATCATTACACAAGCATGCATCTTACTAATATTTGCAATTTTAGATTGGGAAAACTTTTTTGCTCTTTTCTTCCAGTAGCTAGAAGACTAAATGAGAGAAGTAACATGGTTACAACTTATCTTTAATTCCAGGTTGCAGATTTTTCTTTATTATTAAAATCAAAGTTCCTGTTGATGACATTCAGGAAAACCTGATCAGCAGGGAATTTCCTGCTGTCTGAAGCTGTGGAGACGAGTTACACCACTGCGATGACAGCCGTAGGCTCCATCTGAGGGACGTTGCTGTGATGCAGTGACCTAATGGAGCATTCCTGCGGGGGGGAGACAGATTAGGAGGCCAAATTGTTGAATTCCTGGAAGGTAGCAGAATAACTATAGATAGTGAAACTGGCCTGTGCTGATACTCACAGATGATATCAGAAGTGCAGAGCCATGTGAATTTCAGCATTTGGGAAAGGTAACAAAGCAATTCGTAGGATAAATGTAAAAGATTATATGGGAACTGATGTGGGATTGCTGAATCTTGTTAAATTTTCTCAATTGTCTCAATTTTTGTAGGCTTCTAAACTGCCTGCTGGCAGGCAAATTCTGCTTAATTTTTGTCCTTTAAAAAGCAGTTATTGTTATTTCATCCCAGCTAAAACCAAAAGCTGTTGTCTGCCAAGATTGTCTCTTTGTGGTCCTTATAAATGGAATCTTCTTATTAAGAAGAAATCCAGGCCCATTTCTTGCTTCATGACATGGGCGTAAAGCCTTGCCTGGGGCAAGATAACAATCTGGAAAATGTATTAGGCGGCGGGTGTAGGATGAGGAGACTAAGGGAATGTATGGAAGGGGCAGTAAATAGAAGTAAATACCAGGGAGGAAGGAAGAGTCAGAGAGAAGAGTGCAATGAGAAGTCCTGCCGAGTTTAGGAACTGGAAAGCTGAATGAGGCAAGGAGGGAAAACAGCGTGCGTTCAGTACCAGAACAGGATAGCTTCCCTGCAGCGGGATGCTTAACCACAACTTAAAAAAGAAAAACTCCATGCATTACTTTGTGTCTTACCAAATGTGCACTTCAGGGTTGTGATGAACACCAAGGTTTGAACTTGAACTACATGCTGGAGGAAGGGCATGAAAAAAGGTGCTGTAGGTTCTTGCTGAGCAGGCTAGGCGATGTTGGTGATACAAGACTAGCAGGTAAAATGATGATAAAGGAGTATCTGCTCCCAGCTCTCATCACACCATCCCTGACCATGGTGAAACCACTTCCCTACAGCTCCTCATGGTGAGCAGGACTTGTAAGAAGCCATTCCATTTCTTTAGGATTCATGCTTTTTGGTTTTTCTTCAAACGGGTCTAGTAAAAACTGAAACTGGGGTGAATTTGGGTTTCTAGAAATGCTGTACAGGGCGGTTGTCTTTGGCCAGAGGCCTGTGCTGCTCTCCCCACTGGTATACAGCTGTGTTCTGCTGCTGGGGTACAAAAAGGAAGGTTTTTCTCATGACAAAGTCCTTTAGAGAGAACCTGAAGTCAGCATTGGTCTGCGAGCCATCCTGTATTTGAAATTGAATGACAAGTATTAGTTTTCTTTTCAGGTCTTTAAACATGCACAGTCGAGGAAGAGATTGACGGGTGGATTAGCAGAAAACATCAACTTGTGCTTGTATATTGAGTAGGGAGTGTGGTAGACTGAGGTCTTCTGGATAGAATAGACACTAACAGCACTGAAATTTGAAAAAGACAGGCATTAAGCTCATTTGCTATATTTTCCCTGAAGTTTACAGACCAGATTATGAACTAAACTTTGGGATTTTTTCTCTGTCATTGTCAAACAGTACCATTTACTAAACACTGAAAAAAAGATAAAGCTCTGACTGTGGTGATCTAACACTTCAGTAATTTACTATCATAAAATAGTTTTAAGTACAAATGTTTTATCTTATGCCAAGCTGGACGCTAGAGATGTTTTGTCTAAAACATGAGATAATGGAAAGTGTATTGTGGCATGTGAATTAGTTTAGCCTCTTGGTGGTAAACGTTTGCTTAACCAGAAAAGAATGTGTTGAGATCCTTGCCAAAGGAAAGGTATCGCCATGCTTTGCATTTAGAGTACTGTAAATAAAGCAGTAAATATGTTTCTGTTCATGTGTGTTAATCCCCGAGTTATGAATGCATTCATTCAATGAGAAATACAATATACTGTTATCCCTTCTAAAGGGTTTCAGAAAGAACAGGTCATAATTACTTTGGGTTAAGAGAAACTTGAAACCAAATATTTTCATGATGATTGATGTCAAATATGAGAGAGAAATAGTTTTTGCTTAAACTGAGTTTCCCTTAAATCCCAAGAACTCAAATCCTGCTTTGCCTTCAATATTCTTCTTGTCTGCCGACTTCTCTGATGTACTGTTCATATATACATGAAAATCATAAAGTGTACATTTCCTTCACCCCTCCAGGGTTGTTTTGTTGGTTTCTTTCTGGCGAAAGAAAGTCCAAGTGCATAATACGTAACTGCTCAGAGAAGGTGGAGCAGCTGTGCGAAATACTCCCCTCATTGCCCACAGTGTATTTTGGTTTTGAACTTCCTTTGGCTTTAGTTGATACAGTAGCTTAGTGGTGATTTTATAATCCCGATTACAGAAAGAATTGCATAACTCAGATTGCAGTGTAATACTATCAGAGCATTTGTTGGATGCCGTGGTTGTATCAAGTGAAAGCAGCAGAGTTTCTCTTGTAGAGGGCTTTGAAACACCTTTCTGTTCCCCAAAATCCCACGTGCAGGCTTCTGATGAGAGAGCTGGGAGAGGACATTACAGTTTTAGGATATCATTGCAGATTAGGAGAAGATTCTCGGTTTACTTTGTATTTGTATAACATATGGCTGTGTAACCGGCCTCAGCCTGGGGGGTGTAGGGGAGGGGGCCCTTCCATGGGAAGGGGCATCGAGCCACCTGCCTCCTGCAGCACACACAGGTGCACCCTTTGCTGTAGGGAGTTTCTTGGAGGTGGTGCTGTAAGCAGAGCTTTGCTCGGCCGTAAACAGGGATGTTGCACCACCTTCTAGAAATGATTGCTTATTGTTGTCTGTTCTGGGTATCCGAGCCCTACAAAAACGGAGCTCTAAGCGCTCCCAACGTGCAATACTTAAGTGACAACTCATATGAAAACATGATAAGGTGCACTACTAGGCATGTAAATTAAATCTGTAGTATTACAGGTCATAAGCATGAAAAATAACAAATGTATACATTTACTATGCACATACTGAGAGTGATTGGAAAAAACAAGCAGGACCTTGTCTTATTTTCAGCTTAGAATCTGATTTTGGTAAATATATCCATTTTGATATCCATATGTCCATTTCTGATTTTGTTAAAAATATTAATTAAAAGGTCTGAAAACATTTTGGCCTGTAATGAAACTTTAATTCCATTCTCCTCTTGTTCTTAAGCTTAGATGTTAGGAGGGTTTAAAAAGATGTAGTTGGATAATAAGGCCAGATACGTAATTTGAATCATAAGAGAGTTCTTCTAAACATGATATCATCTGAAAATCCTGTGAACTGCAAGAAGCTTTTTTTAGAAACTGTACATTATGTTCTCAGTAGTTTTAAAACCCAAAATAACTTTCCTGTTATTTTTAAGGTACAATGAATTGGATGCCAGTAGAAGCCTCCTAGAAAATTTGAAAAACAAAGTAATAATTGAGTACCCAACGTTATTTGTTGTCTTAAAAAAATTGAAGAATGACATGGTGGTTCTTGGCCAAGGTAAGCATATATTTATTTCCTGTTATTCTATACTTAGATATTTTAGTTGAATAAACAATAATTAAGGATACACCCATTGTTGATGCCAGGAATGCACAGTATGTCTTATATTTCTCTCAGACTCTTAAAGATTGATATCAAACTGTTATGAACGTTGTCTTAAATCTCCTGGTTGATGTTAACTTCAGTGTTACTGTATGTATTTCTCCTAACATTGTTTACTGGTACTTCATCTGTTTTTGTATAGTTTTAGCCACAAAGGTAAAACAATTCTTCAGATTTGTGCTAAATTTTGTACAAAGCAGTTGGACAGAGTTGCTTGTTTCTAAAAAGTCAAGCTGTCAGAGGGAGATTAGGTGTAAGTAAGCCTGCTACAGAAAAGGGAATCTTTGTCCATGATTTCCCAGCATAACTCCTAAAATTGGTCAAATAATTCTGAATTAGATGGTGATTATTAGAAATTTTAATGGCAAAGAAGCTTTTTGTGTGGGTTAAAAGCACTGTTGTCTTTTTGGAAAGTACCATCTTCCTCCCTAATACAAAGGCTTCACTTTCTGTATTTCTGCATTTCCATATAAAAGCTTTGCTTTCTGCAGCTGCTGATAGAGGGAGCCAGTTCCTTGTCCCTTAGTCCCCAGCTAGTAACTATAGTTGTCAAAGAAAGTACTTTTCAGTGATGGGCCCGCCTGTTATTTTTACAGGTTTCTGAGGAAAAGCTTTGAAATAGGTTTGCTGTGGCTATTTCATTGCAGCAACCTAATCATGGCTCTGTATGTATATAATTAAACTGAGTAAATCTGAGACTAAAAATGTCATACCAGTGATAGCAAATCTCCCTGGGTCTCTGATGTTCTGGCTGGATTTCACTAAGTGAACCACTGGAACAATCTGCTGTCAAGGAGCCATATGCAGACGTTTCTTGTGCTGTATATTGCAGGAGAGGGGACACCATGCCAGGAGATAAGATCGTAGTCTTGTCTGAGCAACTGCATCTCCTGATGTTCGCCCTGGGAGTACTTGCAGACATGCTGCAGGACAAAGACATGAGATACCTTTAGTTTGTCCATTGTTTCTTGATCAGGGTCCCTTGGCTTCAGTAGTCAGCCCTGCCCCAATGATTTGGATGTCAGGAGGGAATTAGGACCGATTGACTCAAACTCCATCTGAGTAGCGTGGTTGTCATTACCGCCTCCTGAGCTGGCAGGGAGGCTGTCCTTCTAAGGGGGTAGTTACAGATACGTTGACTGAACAACCGTATTTTGAGGTCATGCTGCTGCAGATACAGGCTGGCCCTGTAAGACCACAGGGCAGAGGGGTGAAGGGAAGGGAGCTGAGAGCAATTGGAAGTGCTGATAGCTGGTACAGGGCAGTGCAAGCATGTGTCCTCAAGACAGTGACCTTCCTCTACTGCAGGCATCATTCGGTTAGCTGTCATCCCTGGAGCTGGTATTCGGGGAACACAGGCAGCTATTGCAGCTTTGGGGAACCATTACATTTTCTTAATCTTTGGTAATTGTTTCTTTAGATTCCATAAAAATCAGGTTCATAGCTCTTTGTTGAGGTGTCTTGTTTGTGACAGGAAGATTTTATAGCTAATGGCAAAAATAGGATGTAACGAGAGCAAAGGGAAGAGAAATTGCTATACAGCATTTCTTCACACTTAAAGGGAGGTGGGAGGTAAGAGGGGTGAAGACAGTTTATAATCAGGTGATCTTTTTAAGATTCATATGCAGCCATCTTCAACAAATTGTCTGGAAGCAAACTGAAGACAGAGTAACTGAAATAAAACATGTATAGCTGCGTATATAATAGCTGCACAGTCTTCATACCGTGCTTGTCTAAATATTCCCAATACGTTAAAATGCAAAGTAGGGATACTTGTATGATGCAGGGGATTAATGTCTCTTCGTTTGGATACATGTAAGTTTCGATTTGGCCATAGCTCATCATATTCAAAATACTCTTCAGTGCCAGTTCACATCACTTGCATAAGAGTAGGAGCGTTCATTTACATTCTTGTGAAGGGGGTGAAGTACGTTGTTCACATTGAAGTAGCATGGTCCTTTCCTCCCTTACTTAATACTTGCTGTAAGAGAATTTTGGAAAGTAAATAAAAAGCCAACTATTTCAATAGGTTTATATACTGAAAATGAAAAAAAAAAAAGCCTCTCAGTCTTTCCAATCTTTTTTTTTTCTTTCCTTTTATTACATTTTTTGTCTTTTTTTCTCCCTAAAGCTTTAGGGTTTGAATTGTGGAGGATATTACTTTACTAACAGGCCAACAAAAATTGCACATCTGAAAGTTGACTTCACAAAACCAATTATATTTCTGGTACTTTGGTTAAGGAATATATATATATCTATGTAATATATAAATATTATATAAAGATATATAATGATAATAGGTACTTCTAAATGAATAGGAAAAGAATGAATCGTGACCTGCAAAATATTGCAAATTGTATATTTTTATAAAGTCTTTATTGTAGGAATATTAAAGATGTTGAGTGTGTATTTGTATGCTTTCCCACTTCCCATTTGTGTTTCTTTTATGTATGGAAGCCAAGCACTGAACATTTTCATTGCTCTTTCTTGACTGCGCATTTAGGCATTTAGCATAGACTGGGCTTTGCAAACAAGCATATTATTTTCTGGAGTTGAATTTGCCAAGTTTCCAGTCCTCCAGATTGTTTCAGGAAAAGCATGCTCAGAACTTAAAAATGGGAGGGCCTTTCAGTGCTGTTACTCCACTTGAAGACAAAAAAACACTTTTGTAGAAGTGTGTCACAGTCATCAAACTCTTCTCTTGTGTGCTATAAAGAGCCTTACAGAAAAAAGGAGAAACAAACAACACTTTTAGCTTGCTTTACCAGTTACGTTCACAGATAACTGCTAAGAGTGGAAGTCATGGTTTCACCTCCAGCATGGCCAGGGAGAAGTACACTCGAACAGGAGCGAGCTAGCCCGCTCACCTCCCCAGAAGCCACCTTACTGCTGCAGCATGTGGCATGTTCCTTGCAGTCCAGCTTCTTCACCGAGTATGTCACCCTCACCCCACAACGAGCTATTACTCTGAAAGACTAGGGAAGAGCTAGAGCTGGACACCTGCTAAGAGAGGCTGCTAGAAGTTAGTGAGGGAAAAACCCATTTTTCCTGTCCTCATTCTCAGAAATGGCTGAAGTATTTTGGCTGAAACTTCCAAAAAATATTCCAGTGAAGGAAGGTAACCAGCACTGAACAATTTAGACCAGGAGTTTAATTTTACATTATCAGTAAACTGCAGACAGCTTTATGGTGAGAGGGACTGGACAATCTTAATTTATAGGCAATGCCATTATGATTGTAAAGGCATGTTCTTTTTGAGTGAAGACAATCTCTAATACCTGTCAAACAAAACTTAACGAACTAAACTAGAGCTAACATTGGTCTGCTGACCTTCATGGTGAGTCAGGAGATGGCCACATTCTTTTATGGGATGTTTTGAAGCTTGACTTGCTTATAGCAAAAAATACAGGTGTGCCGATTCCAGCAGGCAGGGTCAGTCATGGCTGAACATAGGAGGGGATTACAGAAGTTTTCACAGGACTTAGAGGCAAAAACAATCCTTACTTTGTGCATTACTCGGTACATATCTGGCGTATAAATGTTAATTGATTATACACTAGATTTAATATAGACAAAATGTGACCTCTGATGTTTCTGGGTGAAATCCTTCTATTTTCTTGAACAAATTCCATTGAAACTGTACAGGTGCACACTGTGTCCTATGTACTACCCATGCTTGCCAGATGTAGAACTGAGCTTGACAGGACAGCAGCAATGCTTCACCAGCTCCCTTCTGGTAGTGTTTCTTTAATTGAGCATCTGACACTAAATGCTCAAAATCTCCTTTAAATTTGTGGTCGGATCAAACACTGAAAATATCAATGAGAGCAGTGTGAGAGGCATGTGCCTACTTTGCTGTGGTTTATTTTTGTGCTGCTCAAGTGCCACCGACCAGTGGCATTTGGTGACCTCACCACGAGGTGACAGGGGTCGGTGCTTGTTAAGGAAGGAGTCTCAGGATGTATGGCTGAAGACCAGTTTGGGAAATGAGTGCTTCATGATGTGATCTCAACAGAATGCAGCAGCCTGTCCTAAAGCACACGTTACTGTGAAGCTTTAGCCTCCTCAGCCTTAGCTCATGGATTCATGCAGCTTGACACCATCTTTGGGATGCAGGAATATGTGGAAGGAGCACATATATGTGCCGCATCTTAATTTTCTGTTCAGAATTTCTCAATAGCTCCCCATCTTAACAGAAATGCTAACAGCACTGCTGATGACCTATAATTCACTGCAGTTGTAATACACATATGTAGCAACCCAGAAAACAGCATTTAAAACAAACCAGGACAACCATTTGAAATTCTCAGTGGATGAAGAGGAAGAGCCTTGTATGGAATAAACATTCTGCTTACCTACCTGACCGAGAGACCAAGATTTTTTAAAAACTAAAAGAGATCCTAAACATTGTCTTGCTTTCTCCTTCAGCAACAAAGTACTTCGCAGGGCCGTATCCTACATTTTGAGACTCGTTAGGAAATAACTGTCCTCAAGGAAACTCTGATGAAAAGGAAAAGAAGATTCAAAACACTGCTTCTGTTTGAGCAAGCTGGAAAAGGGGGAAATGGCATTGCTGAGACTAACTGCTTGTTGTTTTGTTTGTGTCCTTCACCCTCAGATGCCAGCGAATCTGCAGAGGACTCGGACAGTGAAAGTTCGTCCCTTTCATCTGAGGAAGAAGGGGAAATTCGGGAGAGTTCATGACAGTTCTTTGTGAGAAGAGGGTGGGATGAGCCTTTTATATATTTTTTTTAAATTTAATTAAATCTTTTTAACACAACAGATTTCTCTGGGGTTTGGTTTGGCTTGCTTCACTAAAGGCAGCACTTCCAAGCTGCCTCCCTAACTTTGGATTTAGTAGTGCATGTTTAGGTATGTAAATAAAGAGGTGGGCAACTAATGGTTCAAGAGAAATCTGGTATTATTGCATAGCACCCTTTTATCCATGTATCTTCACTAAACAGAGTAACCCAGATTTAAAGTTTCCAAGTTCATTTCAACAATATATTTTTTCCTTTTATCTTAATATCTCAATGTCTGATTTGTCTGACCATAAATATCTTATCCCATATTTGCATTAATCAATGGATATGAGTCATCATGCTTCAACTTACTGAAAAAAATCTGGTGTTTCATCAGATCAGTTTTCTTTTAGGTTAGTTCTTTGTCATGTTGAGCTGCTGCACATGATCTTACTTTACTTTTTGGTTTTAATTTTCTTAAAGTTTTCTGACTTTAATTTTTGGTGGCATTTTGGATGTCCAGTGCAGTATCTTTTTCTTGTTTGGTTGTGTCTTGCTTAGTATATCAAGAAAGGACCAAGCTGAGCCATGTTTTATGCATGGCATGTTAATCTTCTACCCTCATCTTCTAAATTAGCATTGGTTTAAAAAATAAATAGAAATAGATGCATGGAGTGTCACTAGTGCTAACGTATTGATCTTCTAAACAGCGCTGATGTTGTGCATCTAGTAATCCTGTGTTACTGGTTTACCTACTGAAGCCAGATACTGCAAATGTTTACTGGCATATCAGCTGAACTTACCTACTTAAAAGCAAATAAAGACAAACCAGAAAACTCCTGTACTGTATCAGCTACCAACGACAGCCATCTGTTGCTAACTGCCGATAGAGGACTCCACAATCCCCAGCACTTGTGGAGGTGTCTGGTTCGAGCCCCCCATGCCCGTGGGGCTGGCTGGAGGAATCGGAGGGCGCGGCTGTGAGTGGCAGGTGGGCAGGTGGGTGAGCCCCTCTGAGCCCTCACGAGTCTCCGGAGTCAGTCCAGGCATCTGGGATTAGTTTGTGGTGGGGGCTATGGTTCACCTAAGGTCTAGCTGCAAGTCAGTGTTTGTAAAATCCTAAGCACGTGGTTACTCAGCTCAGTAAACAGCTCCACCAGCTCCTTGTTGCCCTGCTCTGTCTGCTGCTGGAGATTATCACCTTCGTGACCAAAGCTGGCGGCACGGGATGCACACCGGTCAGCCACTTGAGTGCAGAGCTTGGTGTTTTGACCGCAAACTCCCGTGAAGGTGGTTTGTCGGTCACAAGTGCTCTTCCTGCCAGGGCTGACATGATAGAAAGATAGCACAAAGCAGTGAAGTTGCCTGTTGAGGTCACACAAGGCTGTGACAGCAGTGAAGGGCTCAGGCTTTCAGGCGCTCTATCGAGACTCCAGGGCGCCAGCTTGTCCATTCCTGGCCAGCCATACTGCTTGGAGAGGATTGCTGAGATGTACAAGGTAGTAGAAGTTATTTTTTCACGCTTTTGCAAACAAATTATCATTAATAAATTGTTTGCAGCAACATCCAACCAACAAAGTTTGGAAAGAGCATCAGACCTTGGTAGTGACATGCTGCTTCTCCTCACAGTGATTTTGTGTGCCTTCTCCTTCATCTGTTTTGCAATCTGTAATAAAACAGGGAAATTTTTGTACTTGCCTGTCAGTAGCCACCTGTGCTCTATTTTCTTTTTTAATCATTGTTAGTCTTCTGCCCACCTCTCATTGCAATGTTTGTTTTCTTAACCCTCTTTAAAGGACCACAGTTCCTAGCTGTAGGTGTTGCTTTCATATTTTTTCAGTTCAGTGACAGTGAATAAACTTTTCCTAATCAGTGGTTACTGCATGCTCACTTGGTAGTCGCAAATTACTTTAAACCAGCATTGAACCCATTCATATTAACACCCATAGAAGAGCAGAACAGCAAAACTGCCACAGTTCATTTGCTAAGAACTGTTTCATCTGGAGTAAAAGCGTGGTAGTTCTGCCCGGAGTCAGAGCGTGCAGTGGAGATGAGAGTGCCGCAGATACTAACGCTGCTCTGCGTGTGTGTGAGGTTATGCTGTGGCTGAGGAACACACATTTGTAGTCAAAGGGATTTGCATTACTTTCCTGCTCTCTTGGAGGTTTTCATTAATTGACTGAGTGTTTCCCTGCATTGTGTTTTCTTGTAGAAATCTAATTTAAGCTCTCGTGGGAGTCAAAACCACAACCCTGGTTTGTTTTTAAATGAAGATGCTGTTAAATTCATCCTTTAGATGTAAATCTTTTCCTACCTTAAAGAAGGTTCTGAAAATTTGGAAAGGTTGTTCCTGTAGTTGTTACCAGAAAGGAGATTTACCAAACAAAGCTGTGAGCCATCATTCAGATCTCAGACAAATTGAGAGTGAAAGGCCTTGTTAATAGGTGTGTTTCCCATTCATTCCCAGGTTGCTGTCTAGTGAGTTTTATTTAGTGTTGTAACAGTCACCCTGGTCTGAGCGGTGGCAATTCATCAAAAGCAAGCCAAGGTGGAATTCAAACATTTAACTTAGCAAAACTTGTTGAATAATTTGTGTATAAAAATGAATTGAAGTGATGGTCTTGGGCTAATAGCACTGTCTCACTGATGGTAGCTGGCTAGTGCAGGTCCTGCAGCAGTCATAACTGGTAACAATACTGAGGTTAGGGATCTAATCACAGCTGATGCAGTCTTTGGCTGTTAGTACTTTCACAGGTGGTTAGAAGTTCTTAATACCTCTGAGTGATTTAACCCAGAATGAGCATCTCATATCATAAACTGAGGAAAGAAAATACACCTTAAAAAGCCATATTTTTAAAATTCTGGTCAAGCACATGAAACTTAAGACATGGGGCTGAGGATGCCTGGAAGACTTCAGCTGAGTCCATTCTGAAAACATCCTCTCATAATCGCATTGTACTGGCATCCCAGTACAGGCCGCTGACTTGATTCAGCGCAGATGATGCCTGTGAATGAGAAACCCGTGCTGTTGTTTTAATCTTCATCCTTCAGCACCAGCTTGCACTGAGTGCTTGATTTTATGCCTACTATGCTTACTCATTTGTTTTCCTCTATAAACGAGTTGTCACAGAAGGAACAAGCCCTGTGTGCAGCGTTGTTACAGCACTTTTAATGTTTAGACTGTTCAGGTTTCAAACCCTGAACTCTAACAGCGTGCTTGAACTGAAGGACCAGCAGCTTACAAAGCAAAGAGTAAAGCAAAGCAAAGAGTAAAGGCTCTTGTACTGAATGAACGTGCTAGTAAAAAAAAAAAAAAAAAAAAAAAAAAAAAAAAAAAAAAAAAAAAAGTAATGAAGTCATCCTTTTCACAAACTAAGGGACAAAAATAGAGCCTAGCTAAGAGCATAGCAATAGCTGAGAGCTGGGCTTGAGTCAGTCCTAGGAGAGCTTGGTCTTTTCCTTTTTTGTACAGCTTCCTGGGGGGATGAGGCACAAGCAAGGGAACTGTCATGGGTAAACAACTGCCTGTCAGTATGACAGCAAGGTTTTGAATGAACACATCTGAATGCTAGGCTTTACTGTATTTATTCCACTTTAGGGATTGTTGATTTGTAGAGGAAAAGAGGATCATGCTGCAAAGAGAGTTGCTGCCCTAGCTCTTAGAGGCAGTCAGGACTAGCGAGCTAACCAAGAGTTGTTGCTTCAGTAAAGCAGGGTGGATTTACTTCGTCTTAGGAGTAAACCTGCTCACAGTGCAGATCACCCTTTCTAGACTAAAAAAGTGCAGAAATGTCCAGGCTTAGTGCTGATAGGAAGCCCAACCTCTGCACTGAGCACAAGGACAGCTGTGGTTCGGGCCCTGCCCTGCCAGCTAGGGCTGTGCTCTGTTGACATCTGTAGGAGCTGGGAATGCATCGCACCTTGTCAGAGCAGGCTCTCAGAGAGTAAATATACAGCTGTGATGATGTAACGTCAGGCCCTGCTTGGTCACAAACATCTCATTCTGCTTTCTCAAGTCCCACACACTTTTCCTGAAAACATTTATTCTTCCTCCCTCCAAAGAAAAAATATCTTGAATTTGTGTTTGTGTTGTTGCTATGACATTCAGTTAAACTGTATGCAGATGCAGGTTCTCTTAATGAGAGGGAGAAAAAAACACAACTGTGTACTTCAGCAGACAAAGATTACCCTGTGTTTGTATTAGGATGTTGCTATGGCAGTGCATATGGTTTTATTTGGTGGAAATTTGTGGTGAGATGGAAGGAAGTCACATGTATGCGGGACAAACAAGAAGTGGCAGCAAAACCAACTCCAAATAAATACTGAAACTGAAAGGGGAGTTGCAGATGACACGTGAAACCAGGAAAAGACAGGGATAGGTGTTTTGCTGCCTGTCTCTGTGAACTGACAACAGAAACGTGCTCATGCTGTGTCCTGCCAGTCTCAGCGACGCCTCGGACAGTGCCATAGCTGTAATGATGCTTTCACTGCCTGTGCTTCTTGCCCTCCTTGGCTCTGCGTGCTGTGACATATTTTGTTGTTGTTGTTGTTTTGGAAGCAAAATTCCACTCCCTTGGCCTGATCTTCCCACCACTAACTTCTGCAGCCTATCCTAACCTAGTGGGCTTTTTGGCAGGTAAATTAACAGAGTGATAAAGTGTGGAAATCCACTAGTGCTTTGCCTACCTTTGGGGCAAGGTAAAGTCTTTCTGGACTGGTTGCCTCCTGCTTGCAATAGAAACAGGATTTTTCTTTAACTGGCACAGAAGTCCTCATATTTGTCTCGTCCTTTTGCATTGGACTGCTTTTTGCATCAGTTGCATCAGTACAGCTGTTGGTGGGGTTGCGTGACAAATGAGAGCAAGTTAAAAATAACCTGCCCGAGAAACAGGGATAGAAGTGAGGGAGGAGAGTGAGTCCTGGTTTGGAGAACAAATTGCCACACTGCGCTGGGAGCTGGCTGGTTCCAGCATGATCCCAGCTTGCAGAGAAAGCAAAAGTGTTTTGAAAATCACATTGCCACTTTCTTCCTGGCATCCCATTTCAGCCACAAGGAGGAGGAAGAAATGACTGTGAAAGCTGCCTGTTGCTTCTGCTTTCAGCTGTGCTTGGGCATCCATGTTGGTTTTAATGGGATCGTTTCACTGCAGCACAAGTAAAACCTACTCTCTTATTTAAAGTCCTCATAAACAGCTTGCTGATTTTATAGCTGTGCTATCTTAATGTCTGATGATGTTAGATTTTACGAGCCAATTTAGATCTAACCCGTTTGGTATGAGATGCTCAAGAAGCTCGGTAGCTTTGGAGAATCAGCTGCTTTGAGTCTGCAAACCCACGGCTATCTTTTTGGCCTCCTGTGGAACTGGTGCTCTCAGAATGTGGCTGGCCTGCCCTGCTGACTTCTACTGGTGCGTATAGCAGTCTTGTCACTCCTCTTACTAAAACTCTGGCTGCATTCAGCACGAGGTTGTTAGTGCTTATATCCTAGCCAGATTTCCATCTGTGCAAACCTGTGTGCCCTACCTTTACAAGTCTTCCTTCTGTCCAGTAAACAAAAACCTTACAAAAGCTTGTGTAACATTTTGTCCTGGATGGCTGCTGCATTCCATCTGGTAAGTGGCTGCACTTCAGGACAGATAAAGTTGCTTATGTGAGCGGTGCCTTGGGGTCTTCCAGGATGTTTTCCAATATAAATTGTGTATGTAGACTTTTTTTTGGAGGGGGTGTGGGGATGTCATAGCGCACTGGATGCCATCTGCTCAGTTTCTTGGTGTTTGGTCTCTACAGGATAACACAGATAGGTGCTCATTGTATGGCTTTGTTGGCTAGAT